TATATATATATATATATATATATATATATATATATATATATATATATATATATATATATATATATATATATTGGGAAATTGATAATTTTGTAATTAAAAGTGATATTTTTAGGCGATTTTCATTTGTAAGAATATTCTTAAAAAATTATCGTGTTACCATGACAACTACTTTAGATACTTCATGTTCGGAAAATACAATGGTTTTGTCAGCAAGGCGAGGGTTTCTGTATGCATGTAATTTCTAGTATAATATTACTTAATATTGGAAAATATTATTTGTAAAATAAATTGTTTTTCCGACCTACCTATACCCTTATAATATATGGCCACGAAATCTGCAAATTTTGTCTCAGCTAAGAATGTTTGAAACCCGTCGGTATTTGTTCTGCCCTTAATTGCATGCAGAATTAAGAAACACGAAAACAGCAGTAATTGAAGTAGACTTTCTAATTGATGCATTCTCTTGGTGACGCACTTCAGTGGTAAAATTCGAAGGGAAATGTTGTTCTTTTTTTTTACCTTTGTGTTTAATTTGAAATTCAATTGGGAAATGATCACTAACGTCTTCTGCCTATACCAATGGAAAAAGCATGATTTTGAACGTCTACATTATTCAATGATGTTATAGTATATTGTAGTGTTAGTATAATTTTGTTCTTAATATGAAAACGAATTCTACATATACATGCATGCATATATGAAATATAAAGTTACCTCTTGCATTTTGAGTTGATAAGCTGATTTGAAGTCAAACAATCCTGGACTTTCTCCAACAATATTCTTCAACAAATAATCCCCCGTTGCAATAATCCTGAAAAGTTGTTAAGATTATGGGATTTAGTACTTTGAACCAGAACGAAATATATTTACAACACATGAAAAAACAGAAGATCTTTGTTACCATATTTTAAATCTAAAAAGAATCTGCAATTATTTACTAAAGAGATTCTAACTATGGTATGGTAAATGTTACTGAGCTGTACATGCTATGGCTGTCATCGCGCTGAGTAACTATAAAAAAGGAACATTCCTATCTGCGAGTATGAAATAAGAAGAAATGACCAAACATCGAATGTTCCATGGACTTTTCATGGCGTTTTGTTGTGTTAACTGAAAAACAACACGAAACACGCGAAGACATGTTTTAGGTAACATACTCTATAAAAGAGTACGTGGCTTCATTTGCCAGTACAGTTGTAAGTACTCCAAGGAACTGAACTGTACTAGACTCCAGTGTACATTTTAGGCAGAACAAAACGTTCTGGACAGAGTTTAGTCTGCCCAGACATGGGTCATACCAGACAGAAAAAGTAAACCAAATCTGGATGTGGTCATATTAAAGTGGCATTCAGCTTTTTGGCGAAACGTTATGGATGAAAAGAATGCTAGTAGTGTACAGTTGAGAGTTCTGGAACATTTTCTGATTTCTGGACCTCCGCCCTTAGAATTTCCGGACCTGCGCCCAAAAATTTTCCGAACCTCCGCCAGGACGATTTACGAATTTCCGACTTCAGTGGGGCCCTTAAAATTTCAAGACCAGCGACCTTAAAATTTCCAAATCTCCGCCCAAGGAATTTCTTCCCTAAGTTTCAGAACGATCGATCCTTCCGAAACTGTTTCGGAACATCTTACCCAACCCTTTTTCCTTCGGCCATTCGCGTTGCTTGGCTGACGCCTCCGAGACTCTGTCGGAGTCTTTGGGAAGTTTACTTTCCTACGACTGTTGCTACGCTTGTTCTGGATTTTGGAATTTACAAAATCAACGTACTTGATAACTATTTAAAAGTTATATCTCATACAATAAAATAATGGAGTCTGAATATGATGTGAAACTACCTGAATGGATTTCGAGCAAGGGAGCAATTCTTAATATGAAGAACAGGGGTCCGAAAAGTTCATGTGGTCGGTAGCACGAACACGACGACCACGAACCAGAAATGGAGAATTTATTACGATAGACCTGGAGAATCAGGTGAAGAAGTATGATTGGGCAGGAGTTAGATTTCCAACACCAATAGAGGATATAGTAACATCTGAGAGAAACAACAACATTGGAATTAATGTTATTGGTGTGAGGGATTCTTCACTTTTCTATGTGATTATAAGATGGTGAATTGGAGGTATGAAGAGGTGATTAATTTGTTCTACTATGACGGACGGTATTGTGTTTTGAAGAATGTGGATAGATTGACGTCAACACAGATAAGTAAACATGGAGGTAAAAAGTATTTATGTTTACATTGTTTTAATAAACCTTGTTGGAGCGATAAGATGCTTAACACACATATCAAGTTGAATGTAAAAGAACCATGGGAAGACATAATAAATATTATTATTTTGGAGTAAGACCTTTTTAAAGTTTATTAAACTTGAAAACAATGAGATTTGTTTGGGTTTATTTAATGGAAAAAATTTTTCATACATACATGTAAATAAAACAATGAGATTTTGGGAAGTATCATGTACCTTTGACATTCGGGAAGACCTTAAGCTGAGAAAAGCTCTTTACAGAAAACCTGTCGAGATTACCCAACTGTGCAAGCACTCACTAGACATTGTTGAACCGACGGAAAATATGAAAGGTCTTAGAATTACTCAAGGCAGGTCCGGCACGTGTAACAGGAACAGGTACATGACTTTATTTTGTTTTACGACGGAGAAAAGTACTATAGAGTAAAGAGTCTTCTTGAGTTGTGGTGAAGCCCAGTTCATAAACCCGGAGAGACTTATGTGAACGCGGTCTATTATTGTTGTATGAAAACATTTCACACTCTGAAGAAACGGGATGAACATTTAAAAGATGACTATCATAACAGTTTGGAAATACATATGATAAGCAGAATCTCAAAAGTAATTGGAATTAGAAGACAACAGATCAGACATATTTTTGTTAACAATCTCATTTTATGTTTTGAAATAAAATGAAGCGTCAGCTAAAGCAAGCGCGGAGCGCGAGCGCTCCACGTAATATGATTATAGTAGGTATGACAGCCTGTGGAAAACACACTACCTCCTGCAATAACTCAAATCCGTTTTGAAATTTGAAAACATTTTCTTAATTTGTCCAACTTACGAATGGAATAAAACCTACGATCAGGACTTTATTTACATCGGCAGTCATTTTTTCGTAATCCCCTGTAAACAGGATGATGTGGAACTGAGAGTACCTGAAATTTATTGTAAAATACACAGAGTCTCTTATTATTCTTGATGATTGTGCCAACACCAATTCAGTGAAAAATCGGGTCGGAGAATTGGTAAAACTTGGGTTTAACGCAAGACATATGAATATTTCCACCATTGTCATCACTCAACAACTTATCTCCATTGCGAAACCATACCGTGAAAATATTTCCAAATTGGTTACGTTTTACAATCCCAACAAAGCAGACATGAAGATTATTTTAGATGAATGCCTGTTCATCGACGAGGATGAGATGAGATCTATTAAAAAGCAGTTGAAAGAAAACAAATACGCAAATCTGGAAATTAACTTGATTCATTCGTATAATCATGAAATTAAAATTCTTTGCTATAATAAAACTGAAAGCAATGAAACAAGAATTACCGGAGATTAATTCAAATCACTATGATGCAGACATTGAAAGCGATCAACCAGACTATAGAGCGGAGCTGATACGCTTGTCAAACGCAGGTGAAAATCTGAAAAATATCTAAGAAAAGCTCTGACAAGGATTTAGCTAAAATTCATAGGGAGTACATTGTCGTGCAAAGAGTAAAAGCCAACACCCTACTACACACGTAAAAATCTCACATCTTGTAACAAGTCCGCCAATAAGCCGTCAATAAAATGTATTCGCACTGCATGTCAAAAGTTGTCAACAGGTTTGGAACAACTTGTTGACAACTTGTAACAACCTTGTCGAAATTATCAGACTTGTTGCAAGGTTGTT